GACCAAGTTGACCAAATGCTCTGACCAAATGTAAATGACCAAATTGACCAAATGCCCTGACCAAATGTAAATGACCGAATTGACCAAATGCCCTGACCAAATGTAAATGAACAAATTGACCAAATGCCCTGACCAAATGTAAATGACCAAATTGACCAAATGCCCTGACCAAATGTAAATGACCAAATTGACCAAATGCCCTGACCAAATGTAAATGACCAAATTGACCAAATGCCCTGACCAAATGTAAATGACCGAATTGACCAAATGACCAGGAGCTGGTGAGAGTTTTGGCGAGGCCTCCCTGCTAGCAGACGACAAACTGAGGAGCGCTACAGTTGTAGCAGACGATCACTGTCAGCTGATGGTCATCGATCAGGCCTTGTTTGATACAGCCTTGAAGGTCAGCCATCACAACAATCATTTCAATCATTCACACAATATGCAATCTTTACAATCATAACATTCCTTACAATAGTTACAATAATTACTTTCATTACAATCATAGTAATAATTACAACAATAACAATCATTGCAATAGTAACAATCATTACAATCATTACAATCATTACAATCATTGCAATCATTGCAATCATTACAATCATTACAATCATTACAATCATTACAATTATTACAATCATTACAATCATTGCAATCATTGCAATCATTACAATCATTACAATCATTACAATCATTACAATCATTACAATCATTACAATCATTGCAATCATTACAATCATTACAATCATTACAATCATTGCAATCATTACAATCATTACAATCATTGCAATCATTACAATCATTACAATCATTACAATCATCTACACATCTGTTGTCGGCCCACAGTCCCAGCAGGAGCAGATGTACAAAGAGATCTCCCAGTTTATCGAGGCCACGCCCCTTTTCTCACGCATGTCCCACAAGTTCAAGAGGATCGTCCAGCTCAGCCTCAGAAAGGTCCAGTCACCACTGGACGCCATCTTGTGTCACCAGGGGCGCCCCGTCGCCGCACTCTTCTTTATTTTAAGGTTAGTTGTCTTAACCTAATCAAGTAACGTGTCACCATCAAATGTTTGGGTCACCATCAAATGTTTGGGTCACCATCAAATGTTTGGGTCACCATCAAATGTTTGGGTCACCATCAAATGTTTGGGTCACCATCAAATGTTTGGGTCACCATCAAATGTTTATCTCTTCCAGCGGTCAAGCTACAATCAACGTGGACACTGGTCACCACCAGCAACAATACCCTCACCTGCTAACACCTGATGATAGCTTCGGTCATCACAAGATGGCGGCGCCCAGGTGAATTCAGGCAACATGTATATGTTCCTGTAGTATAGTGACATGTTCCTGTAGTATAGTGACATGTTCCTGTAGTATAGTGACATGTTCCTGTAGTGACATGTTCCTGTAGTATAGTGACATGTTCCTGTAGTATAGTGACATGTTCCTGTAGTATAGTGACATGTTCCTGTAGTATAGTGACATGTTCCTGTAGTATAGTGACATGTTCCTGTAGTATAGTGACATGTTCCTGTAGTATAGTGACATGTTCCTGTAGTATAGTGACATGTTCCTGTAGTATAGTGACATGTTCCAGTAGTGACATGTTCCTGTAGTATAGTGACATGTTCCTGTAGTATAGTGACATGTTCCTGTAGTATAGTGACATGTTCCTGTAGTATAGAGACATGTTCATGTAGTATAGTGACATGTTCCTGTAGTGACATGTTCCTGCTGTATAGTGACATGTTCCTGTAGTGACATGTTCCTGTAGTATAGTGACATGTTCCTGTAGTATAGTGACATGTTCCTGTAGTATAGTGACATGTTCATGTAGTGACATGTTCCTGTAGTATAGTGACATGTTCCTGTAGTGACATGTTCCTGTAGTTACATGTTCCTGTAGTATAGTGACATGTTCCTGTAGTATAGTGACATGTTCCTGTAGTGACATGTTCCTGTAGTGACATGTTCCTGTAGTGACATGTTCCTGTAGTGACATGTTCCTGTAGTGACATGTTACTGTAGTATAGTGACATTGTCCTGTAGTGACATGTTCCTGTAGTATAGTGACATGTTCCTGTAGTATAGTGACATGTTCCTGTAGTATAGTGACATGTTCATGTAGTGACATGTTCCTGTAGTATAGTGACATGTTCCTGTAGTGACATGTTCCTGTAGTTACATGTTCCTGTAGTATAGTGACATGTTCCTGTAGTATAGTGACATGTTCCTGTAGTGACATGTTCCTGTAGTGACATGTTCCTGTAGTGACATGTTCCTGTAGTGACATGTTCCTGTAGTGACATGTTACTGTAGTATAGTGACATTGTCCTGTAGTGACATGTTCCTGTAGTGACATGTTCCTGTAGTGACATGTTCCTGTATTGACATGTTCCTGTAGTGACATGTTCCTGTAGTGACATGTTCCTGTAGTGACATGTTCCTGTAGTATAGTGACATGTTCCTGTAGTATAGTGACATGTTCCTGTAGTGACATGTTCCTGTAGTATAGTGACATGTTCCTGTAGTATAGTGAAATGTTCCTGTAGTGACATGTTCCTGTAGTGACATGTTCCTGTAGTGACATGTTCCTGTAGTGACATGTTCCTGTAGTATAGTGACATGTTCCTGTAGTATAGTGACATGTTCCTGTAGTGACATGTTCCTGTAGTGACATGTTCCTGTAGTGACATGTTCCTGTAGTGACATGTTCCTGTAGTGACATGTTCCTGTAGTGACATGTTCCTGTAGTATAGTGACATGTTCCTGTAGTATAGTGACATGTTCCTGTAGTATAGTGACATGTTCCTGTAGTGACATGTTCCTGTAGTGACATGTTCCTGTAGTATAGTGACATGTTCCTGTAGTGACATGTTCCTGTAGTATAGTGACATGTTCCTGTAGTATAGTGACATGTTCCTGTAGTATAGTGACATGTTCCTGTAGTGACATGTTCCTGTAGTGACATGTTCCTGTAGTGACATGTTCCTGTAGTGACATGTTCCTGTAGTGACATGTTCCTGTAGTATAGTGACATGTTCCTGTAGTATAGTGACATGTTCCTGTAGTGACATGTTCCTGTAGTATAGTGACATGTTCCTGTAGTATAGTGAAATGTTCCTGTAGTGACATGTTCCTGTAGTGACATGTTCCTGTAGTGACATTGTCCTGTAGTGACATGTTCCTGTAGTATAGTGACATGTTCCTGTAGTATAGTGACATGTTCCTGTAGTATAGTGACATGTTCCTGTAGTATAGTGACATGTTCCTGTAGTATAGTGACATGTTCCTGTAGTGACATGTTCCTGTAGTGACATGTTCCTGTAGTGACATGTTCCTGTAGTGACATGTTCCTGTAGTGACATGTTCCTGTAGTATAGTGACATGTTCCTGTAGTATAGTGACATGTTCCTGTAGTGACATGTTCCTGTAGTGACATGTTCCTGTAGTGACATGTTCCTGTAGTGACATGTTCCTGTAGTGACATGTTCCTGTAGTGACATGTTCCTGTAGTATAGTGACATGTTCCTGTAGTATAGAGACATGTTCCTGTAGTATAGTGACATGTTCCTGTAGTGACATGTTCCTGTAGTGACATGTTCCTGTAGTATAGTGACATGTTCCTGTAGTATAGTGACATGTTCCTGTAGTATAGTGACATGTTCCTGTAGTGACATGTTCCTGTAGTGACATGTTCCTGTAGTATAGTGACATGTTCCTGTAGTGACATGTTCCTGTAGTGACATGTTCCTGTAGTGACATGTTCCTGTAGTGACATGTTCCTGTAGTGACATGATCCTGTAGTATAGTGACATGTTCCTGTAGTATAGTGACATGTTCCTGTAGTGACATGTTCCTGTAGTGACATGTTCCTGTAGTGACATGTTCCTGTAGTGACATGTTCCTGTAGTGACATGTTCCTGTAGTGACATGTTCCTGTAGTGACATGTTCCTGTAGTGACATGTTCCTGTAGTGACATGTTCCTGTAGTGACATGTTCCTGTAGTATAGTGACATGTTCCTGTAGTGACATGTTCCTGTAGTGACATGTTCCTGTAGTGACATGTTCCTGTAGTATAGTGACATGTTTCTGTAGTATAGTGACATGTTTCTGTAGTATAGTGACAAATTCCTGTAGTGACATGTTCCTGTAAAATAGTGACATGTTCCTGTAGTGACATGTTCCTGTAGTGACATGTTCCTGTAGTGACATGTTCCTGTAGTATAATGACATGTTCCTGTAGTGACATGTTCCTGTAGTGACATGTTCCTGTAGTATAGTGACATGTTCCTGTAGTGACATGTTCTTGTAGTGACATGTTGCTGTAGTGACATGTTCCTTTAGTATAGTGACATGTTCCTGTAGTGACATGTTCATGTAGTGACATATTCATATCATATTGTTTGACTGACAAGTCTTCCATGGACTGTTCACGTGATGCCATTACTTTTGTTGACAGTGTCAGAGAGAAGGCAAGACACCATAAGACAGTTGAGAGACAGGTAAATGTGTCTTTGTGGAGTTTGTCTTGTCATTGGTAGCAACGGGTGGGGGAGCGGTGGATCGAGCGACGGAAATGAGGTTGTATGGTTCCATGTGATTGGCGGTTGATTGATAGGTATGGCAGATATTGGCTAAAAGCAATGACCAAATTGGCAAAAATGTCCACCTTACTGCCATATTAAAACGTCAATCTGGCTGCCATATAAAAATGTCCACCTTACTGCCATATGAAAATGTCCACCTTACTGCCATATAAAAATGTCCATCTGGCTACCATATAAAAATGTCCATCTTGTTACCATATAAAAATGTCCACCTTACTGTTATATAAAAATGTCCATCTGGCTGCTGTTAAAAAAATTCCAGGGGAAGAAACTCTGCCTGTGCAGCGTCCAGAGCGGGGAGGTAATCGGTGACCTGGAAGTGGTCTACGGCCTAGACACTCACTTCTGCACCGTCCAGTGCACCACCGACACCGCCATCTTTGTTCTCAACATGAAAAATGTGGAGCGGCTCCTGGGGAAACGGAACCGTGTCTTTCTTGAGACTCTAAAGGAGAACTGCAAGGTGGCTGCAATGTGTCTTGTCACATGTCATGTACAACCTGCCTGTATCACCTGCCTGTATAACCTGCCTGTATAACCTGCCTGTATCACCTGTCTGTATAACCTGCCTGTATCACCAGTCTGTATAACCTGCCTGTATAACCTGCCTGTATAACCTGCCTGTATAACCTGCCTGTATCAACTGCCTGTATTACCTGCCTGTATAGCCTGCCTGTATCAACTGCCTGTATTACCTGCCTGTATAACCTGCCTGTATCAACTGCCTGTATAACCTGCCTGTATCAACTGCCTGTATAACCTGCCTGTATAACCTGCCTGTATAACCTGCCTGTATCAACTGCCTGTATCACCTGCCTGTATCACCTGCCTGTATAACCTGCCTGTATCACCTGCCTGTATAACCTGCCTGTATAACCTGCCTGTATAACCTATCTGTATAACCAGTATCACCTGTCACTTATCACTAATATTTCACTTGCATGTAGGCCTATAACTTTTTCAAAAAGATTTTTTTATGTTTTGATATGGGTTGTTCTAGAGTTGGACTAAGGGACATAACCAATGAACGATGTTATGAATTTAGCTTTTCTTCTCTTTACCTCCCCTGAAACGTTGCAGGCCAAGCTGAAGCTGCGGGCGTGCTCTCAGCTGGGCAGTGACGTCCCCCTGTTGGCGCGGCTACTGCTCGATGACGTCACACGTCCGGCCTCACTTCCGGTCGTGGAAAAAATTCGAAACGGGAAAAATTTACCCAGCCGAGATGTTCAGGTCAGTTATAGGTTAGGTCTTTAGGTCAGTTATAGGTTAGGTCTTTAGGTCAGTTATAGGTTAGGTCTGTAGGTCAGTTATAGGAATATTAGCTGCATACCCGTGCTCCGCCACGGTAACAAAAAAAACACAAACACAAAGAAAACACAAACACAATGCAAACACAAATGCAAACGCAAAAAAAAAACACCAACGAAAAAACAAACACAACACGCATAACATAAACACAACTTAAATGTAAACATAAACGCATAGTGCTCACAGTCTAGCCCGTGGCGCCAAATCGTACCCTGTCCAAGCGTCGGCGGACGCGCCTGATTCAGTGAATGACTATAAAAACCCCAGCTTGTCCGCAAACGGAAAGATAGAATAAAAATTAGTAATCAGTACGTTCAGTGTATAAAAGAAATAAAAGGCAGTATTAAAAATATCCTTGTTTTACCTACGAAATCGCATTTTATCAATTCATGCATTTTTTTCAGTACTTTTAATTTAAAATAAACCGGGAATGATCTCCCCTAAACTTTCTCGAATATTCTTATATAAAATTACGAGGGATGGCAACTCAAGACATAGACAATATTTGTTATCCATTTTTAATTCCTTAAAGTTTTTATAATAGAATAGAATCTCGTAAAAAAAAAGAATTGCACACCAAGTGAACGCCTAATAAAATGTGCATAAAAGTGCGGAATATTATTAGTACTTTATAAATTTACATGCGTTTTTGAGACATCGGAAATAGCGTAAATTAGTACTTCTTTTCAACAGAAATTACTCAAAATTTGAGAGAAGGTAGAGAATTAGATCTTTTACTTACTTGTGAAATTTCATGCATCTATCTAAAATAGTACGCAAGGTATAGGCTTTTGAAAAATTCAAAGTAGAAAAAGTACCACTTCCGGTTATCGGAAATCGCTCAAAAGTTTATCAGGATCTACGATTTTGATAAAATACATATATAAGAAATTTCATCAACCTAGCTGTAACGGTACTCAAGTTATCGTGTTTACACACAGACAGACACACATACAGACACACAGACATACGGACAAGATTGCAAAAGTATGTTTTTCCGTATCAGTGAGGTGTAAAACATCGAGATTTGTAAAAATCTCGATTATTGTTTGCACGATTACAATACTTTCTCTATACTTCGTATATACGAGAAAGTAAAAATTTACAATAGAGTTTCATGACTAGAATCATTGCGCCCCTAATGAACGTGATGACGCGTGAGGAATAGTTGATTAAAAATTATAATTAGTAAATAGTACGTTCAGTGAATAAAAAATAATAAGATAGCCTTTTATCAATCCATGCTAATTATAATATTCCTACAATAATGTCCTCTTACACGTCTGCAGAATTTGCATTCACATTTTGCTAATTATGTTATTCCAATAATAATTCCGTCTTGGAGATTTTGCATTCACATTTTTTAGCGTGAGCTGAATTTATGTTTTTAATTAGATTTTTCTACCCTACTGTTATTATGTTATTAAAATGTATCCAATTTTTCTAGGAATCTAAACGAAAATGATATTTGACATTGATCTGTTTAATATGATTTAGAAATTTGCGTGTATTTAATATTTTCTTCACGTAATGCGAAAGAGTAAAAACTGTAGCAACTATAAAATAAATCGTTATATAAACAAACCCTACTCTACAACCTCTAATAAGACACTGCAAAGCAAGTAAAAGCACGGCATTTTCCAAAATCTATAGCGATGACGGACTGACACACTACCTAGCTGCTTATACTATAGAAATAGATGTTAGGTCTGTAGGTTAGTTTTAGGAATATGTAATGTCTGTAGTACTAGGTAGTGTAGATAGGACAGTTAAAGGAATGTGTTATGTCCGTGGAAAGATAAGTTAGACTTGTTCAAATTAGGTCAAATGAAGGTCAGACTTGTAGGCTAGGTCTGTGTGACCAAGGTCCATTCAGGCTGCACTAGGTTTGAGTGAGGTCTTTCTTGTTAATGTGTCTCGCCCTCCCCAGCTTCGACACATGCTGGTCAAGTTTGAGAAGGGCGAGGCTGCACTCATTGAACCCATGGTGCCCGGCGCCCTCATCTACAGGGATCAGATGAGAGAGAGGGCCAGGATACGAGCCAACATCCGCAGGAGGTCCACCTTCAAGTCCATGGTCACTGAGGTACAGTCAGACAGCATTGACTCGACGGAGGTCATGTGTCACTGAGGTACAGTCAGACAGCATTGACTCGACGGAGGTCATGTCGGACTACATTTACTGTATGGTTTGTTGTACGCTATGACCTACTTTCCCATGGTTTGCTGTATGATATGACCTACTTCCCCATGCATTGGTGTATAATATGACCTACTTTCCCATGGTTTGCTGTACGATATGACCTACTTCCCCATGCTTTGCTTTACGCTATGACCTACTTCCCCATGCATTGGTGTATAATATGACCTACTTTCCCATGGTTCGTTGTACGCTATGACCTACTTTCCCATGGTTTGCTGTATGATATGACCTACTTCCCCATGGTTTGCTGTACGCTATGACCTACTCCCCATGGTTTGCTGTACGCTATGACCTACTCCCCATGGTTTGCTGTACGCTATGACCTACTTTCCCATGGTTTGCTGTACGCTATGACCTACTTTCCCATGGTTTGCTGTACGCTATGACCTACTTTCCCATGGTTTGCTGTACGCTATGACCTACTTTCCCATGGTTTGCTGTACGCTATGACCTACTCCCCATGGTTTGCTGTACGCTATGACCTACTCCCCATGGTTTGCTGTACGCTATGACTTACTCCCCATGGTTTGCTGTACGCTATGACCTACTCCCCATGGTTTGCTGTACGCTATGACCTACTTTCCCATGGTTTGCTGTACGCTATGACTTACTCCCCATGGTTTGCTGTACGCTATGACCTACTTTCCCATGGTTTGCTGTACGCTATGACCTACTCCCCATGGTTTGCTGTACGCTATGACCTACTTTCCCATGGTTTGCTGTACGCTATGACTTACTCCCCATGGTTTGCTGTACGCTATGACCTACTCCCCATGGTTTGCTGTACACTATGACCTACTCCCCAGAGTAAGCGTAGAAGCTCCCAGCGGCAAGCCCGGAGCCGCCGCGCCATACTGCAGGCACTACACGAGCTGATGACCGAACCAAGTGACGACCAGCAGCCAGACGGCCCCGCCCTGGACCAGCCGCCCCCTCACCCCCACACACGCACGGACCCAGGAAATGACGTGTTACAAGACGAAGTAACTGTAAGAAACGAAATTTCCGACCAGTCTCACAAGCAAGCGGACAAAGTGAAAAGCTTTGCCCCGGCAGACAAAAAGGTGGACTTTGACTTCGCTTCCGGTCATGTGATTGAAGAAGCGAAGGATGAAAATCTTGTGACGTCTCGACAGTCCGCAGCCTTGACTGGCGTCGGTCAAGGTGGGAGGCTCATCATAGAATATCAGAGTCAAAATGTTGACAGCATAACTGGAACCAACACAAGATTCCCTCCACTGGTCAAATCAGAAGTACGTCTAGCACAAGTCAGGTATGTTTACTGACGTCACAAATAGCCTGATGGTTTAATTTTTACCACTCGCGTACCCGTCTCGCGTGTTGCTGTAGCTCAGGAGAAAGGCTGACACAATATTTTAAGAGGATTTCATCAATGCGTTACTAATTTTTTTTTTTGGACGCGTGACTTTGTTTTCAAAATCTGAGTTATTTCAATGTAAACCAATCAGGTGCTACATTTGTCCACACTACCGTCCAGACGCCCGAGGGCGTGCGGTATGAACGCCTCGAGTGTACGTTAATCATCCTTCATAACAGTCAAAGGTGTCACTGGGTCGCATAGAGTGTACGTTAATCATCCTTCATAACAGGTGTCACTGGGCCGCCGGCTAGGTCCCTGTTTGTTTTATTCATCGAATGACAAGGGCAATCGTGCTCCTATTGTAAGGTGCTATTTAAAACGAATACAGGTGTCATAGTACTCACAGGGGAGCCCGATGCTACAGGTCACACGACCACTGGGGCGCCGGCGAACGTGCCTGATACGATTTAGTCAAAGATGGTAGTAGCCGCCGTATCCATACTGTGTAACATTTTTTAAAACGAATATAGTCGCCATAGTTCTCGCGGAGAAGCCCAGTGTATCAAATAGCTGTTACCTCCCCAAGAGTATTCTAAATAACTTTGCAAAGTTTCATGGCGATCGGATTAACGTTGGTGTATTGCATAAAGGACAGACAGACATACACACAACACACAAGTTTACTTTCATTTTTATACATTTAGATTTTTTCTATAAAACATTAAGCATCTAATTACGTCAAATTTGATGTTAGTTTGCATTTTCACAAGCCCAGTTTCAAACGAATAGGTCCGCTAGAAGTGGTCGAAGTTTTTCTCGGCAGTTTCACTCCAGGGCGAGAGAAGCACCACGAAGGAAGCAAGTTAAATAAAAGCTTTTACAAATATTTGAGACTAGGTGTGACCCTTACCCACCCACCTGTTTGACCATTATCCCCCCACCCCCCACCCCACTGTGTCACCACTACCCACCCCTGCCCTATTCCACTCAACCACTTGGCCATACAGAACTAATGTTCATATCAAACGGAGACCGAATGGCTATTGATTCAATTAAAGACCCATTCGGAGGCAAATCGAATTCATTCTTTCCTTCTTTCAACCCCCAAACTCCACCAAACTCCATCAATTATTTTTTCTTCTTAAGAAAATGGCCAGGTGTTTCCTAAAAACACTGAAAATAAATAGAATTCATGTTTTCGTTCAATGTTCACACAATTCAAAGTTCAAGGTCATTCTGGGGTTTTTGGGGTTTTTTCTCAACTTGCTTTTCCATGTTTTTTTTATGGGAACACAAACATACACACACACACTCACACACACACACACACACCCCACACACACGCACTACCCATAACCCACCCAACCCGCGCAAAACCTCCCTCCTCACACACAGAAACACCCACAACACTTAAAACACACACACACACACACAAACACACACAATAAAAACCACACGACACAGACAAGACGCCCTAGCCTGACAGAGCCACTAAACAACTGCCACCCCCCCCCCCCCCAGCAGTGATCCTGACAGAGCCACTAAACAACTGCCACCCCCAGCAGTGTCCCTGACAGAGCCACTAAACAACTGCCACCCAGTGTCCCTGATAGAGCCACTAAACAACTGCCACCCTCTAGCAGTGTCCCTGACAGAGCCACTAAACAACTGCCACCCCCCCCCCAGCAGTGATCCTGACAGAGCCACTATACAACTGCCACCCCAGCAGTGTCCCTGACAGAGCCACTAAACAACTGCCACCCCCCCCCCCCCCCCCAGCAGTGATCCTGACAGAGCCACTAAACAACTGCCACCCCCAGCAGTGTCCCTGACAGAGCCACTAAACAACTGCCACCCCCCCCCCCCCAGCAGTGTCCCTGACAGAGCCACTAAACAACTGCCACCCCCACCCCCAGCAGTGTCCCTGACAGAGCCACTAAACAACTGCCGGCCCCCCCCCCCAGCAGTGTCCCTGACAGAGCCACTAAACAACTGCCACCCCCAGCAGTGTCCCTGACTGAGCCACTAAACAACTGCCACCCTCTAGCAGTGTCCCTGACAGAGCCACTAAACAACTGCCACCCCCCCCCCCAGCAGTGTCCCTGACAGAGCCACTAAACAACTGCCACCCCCCCCCAGCAGTGTCCCTGACAGAGCCACTAAACAACTGCCACCCCCACCCCCAGCAATATGTCCCTGACAGAGCCACTAAACAACTGCCACCCCCACCCCCAGCAGTGTCCCTGACAGAGCCACTAAACAACTGCCACCCCCACCCCCAGCAGTGTCCCTGACAGAGCCACTAAACAACTGCCACCCAGTGTCCCTGACAGAGCCACTAAACAACTGCCACCCTCTAGCAGTGTCCCTGACAGAGCCACTAAACAACTGCCACCCCCCCCCCCCCAGCAGTGATCCTGACAGAGCCACTATACAACTGCCACCCCCAGCAGTGTCCCTGACAGAGCCACTAAACAACTGCCACCCAGTGTCCCTGATAGAGCCACTAAACAACTGCCACCCTCTAGCAGTGTCCCTGACAGAGCCACTAAACAACTGCCACCCAGTGTCCCTGATAGAGCCACTAAACAACTGCCACCACCCCCCAGCAGTGTCCCTGACAGAGCCACTAAACAACTGCCACCCCCACCCTCTAGCAGTGTCACTGACAGAGCCACTAAACAACTGCCACCCCCACCCTCTAGCAGTGTCCCTGACAGAGCCACTAAACAACTGCCACCCAGTGTCCCTGATAGAGCCACTAAACAACTGCCACCACCCCCCAGCAGTGTCCCTGACAGAGCCACTAAACAACTGCCACCCTCTAGCAGTGTCCCTGACAGAGCCACTAAACAACTGCCACCCTCTAGCAGTGTCCCTGACAGAGCCACTAAACAACTGCCACCCTCTAGCAGTGTCCCTGACAGAGCCACTAAACAACTGCCACCCTCTAGCAGTGTCCCTGACAGAGCCACTAAACAACTGCCACCCAGTGTCCCTGACAGAGCCACTAAACAACTGCCACCCACTAGCAGTGTCCCTGACAGAGCCACTAAACAACTGCCACCCCCACCCCCAGCAGTGTCCCTGACAGAGCCACTAAACAACTGCCACCCAGTGTCCCTGACAGAGCCACTAAACAACTGCCACCACCCCCCAGCAGTGTCCCTGACAGAGCCACTAAACAACTGCCACCCCCCCCCCCCCCAGCAGTGTCCCTGACAGAGCCACTAAACAACTGCCACCCCCAGCATTGTCCCTGACAGAGCCACTAAACAACTGCCACCCCCCCCCCCCCAGCAGTGTCCCTGACAGAGCCACTAAACAACTGCCACCCCCACCCCCAGCAGTGTCCCTGACAGAGCCACTAAACAACTGCCACCCCCCCCCCCAGCAGTGTCCCTGACAGAGCCACTAAACAACTGCCACCCCCAGCAGTGTCCCTGACTGAGCCACTAAACAACTGCCACCCTCTAGCAGTGTCCCTGACAGAGCCACTAAACAACTGCCACCCCCCCCCAGCAGTGTCCCTGACAGAGCCACTAAACAACTGCCACCCCCCCCCCCCCAGCAGTGTCCCTGACAGAGCCACTAAACAACTGCCACCCCCACCCCCAGCAATATGTCCCTGACAGAGCCACTAAACAACTGCCACCCCCACCCAGCAGTGTCCCTGACAGAGCCACTAAACAACTGCCACCCACTAGCAGTGTCCCTGACAGAGCCACTAAACAACTGCCACCCTCTAGCAGTGTCCCTGACAGAGCCACTAAACAACTGCCACCCCCACCCCCAGCAGTGTCCCTGACAGAGCCACTAAACAACTGCCACCCTCTAGCAGTGTCCCTGACAGAGCCACTAAACAACTGCCACCCCCCCCCCCCCCAGCAGTGTCCCTGACAGAGCCACTAAACAACTGCCACCCCCCAACAGTGTCCCTGACAGAGCCACTAAACAACTGCCACCCCCACCCCCCAGCAGTGTCCCTGACAGAGCCACTAAACAACTGCCACCCCCCAACAGTGTCCCTGACAGAGCCACTGAACAACTGCCACCCCCACCCCCCAGCAGTGTCCCTGACAGAGCCACTAAACAACTGCCACCCCCACCCACTAGCAGTGTCCCTGACAGAGCCACTAAACAACTGCCACCCCCACCCCCAGCAGTGTCCCTGACAGAGCCACTAAACAACTGCCACCCTCTAGCAGTGTCCCTGACAGAGCCACTAAACAACTGCCACCCCCACCCACTAGCAGTGTCCCTGACAGAGCCACTAAACAACTGCCACCCCCACCCCCCAACAGTGTCCCTGACAGAGCCACTAAACAACTGCCACCCTCTAGCAGTGTCCCTGACAGAGCCACTAAACAACTGCCACCCCCACCCCCAACAGTGTCCCTGACAGAGCCACTAAACAACTGCCACCCCCCCCAGCAGTGTCCCTGACAGAGCCACTAAACAACTGCCACCCCCCCCCCCAGCAGTGTCCCTGACAGAGCCACTAAACAACTGCCACCCCCTAGCAGTGTCCCTGACAGAGCCACTAAACAACTGCCACCCCCACCCCCAGCAGTGTCCCTGACAGAGCCACTAAACAACTGCCACCCCCCCCCACCCCCAGCAGTGTCCCTGACAGAGCCACTAAACAACTGCCACCCCCACCCTCTAGCAGTGTCCCTGACAGAGCCACTAAACAACTGCCACCCCCACCCACTAGCAGTGTCCCTGATAGAGCCACTAAACAACTGCCACCCCCCCCCCCCCCAGCAGTGTCCCTGACAGAGCCACTAAACAACTGCCACCCTCTAGCAGTGTCCCTGACAGAGCCACTAAACAACTGCCACCCTCTAGCAGTGTCCCTGACAGAGCCACTAAACAACTGCCACCCTCTAGCAGTGTCCGGCAGACGGCGCGGCCTGACCTCGGGTCACGTGACGAGCTGCAGACGTCGGATAGGCAGTTGGAGGAGCTGGAGGCCCGCGTGAAAAACTTTTTGCTGCAACATTTCAACGTCCGCAGCTGTCAGCTTCCACATCTCCAGCGCCAGACTAGCTGTGTAAGTATAGGGGCGTCAGGCTAGCTGTAAATATAGGGGCGTCAGGCTAGCTGTAAGTATAGGGGCGCCAGGCTAGCTGTGTAAGTATAGGGGCGTCAGGCTAGCTGTGTAAGTATAGGGGCGCCAGGCTAGCTGTGTAAGTATAGGGGCGCCAGGCTAGCTGTGTAAGTATAGGGGCGTCAGGCTAGCTGTAAGTATAGGGGCGTCAGGCTAGCTGTGTAAGTATAGGGGCGTCAGGCTAGCTGTGTAAGTATAGGGGCGCCAGGCTAGCTCTTAGTATAGGGGCGCCAGGCTAGCTGTAAGTATAGGGGCGTCAGGTTAGCTGTGTAAGTATAGGGGCGCCAGGCTAGCTGTGTAAGTATAGGGGCGCCAGGCTAGCTGTAAGTATAGGGGCGTCAGGCTAGCTGTAAGTATAGGGGCGCCAGGCTAGCTGTGTAAGTATAGGGGCGCCAGGCTAGCTGTAAGTATAGGGGCGCCAGGCTAGCTGTGTAAGTATAGGGGCGACAGGCTAGCTGTGTAAGTATAGGGGCGCCAGGCTAGCTGTAAGTATAGGGGCGCCAGGCTAGTTGTAAGTATAGGGGCGTCAGGCTAGCTGTGTAAGTATAGGGGCGCCAGGCTAGCTGTAAGTATAGGGGCGCCAGGCTAGTTGTAAGTATAGGGGCGTCAGGCTAGCTGTGTAAGTATAGGGGCGCCAGGCTAGTTGTAAGTATAGGGGCGTCAGGCTAGCTGTGTAAGTATAGGGGCGCCAGGCTAGTTGTAAGTATAGGGGCGCCAGGCTAGTTGTAAGTATAGGGGCGTCAGGTCAGTTGTGTAAGGGAGCTGATGTTAGTATGCGCGGGTATTGAAAGAATATCACTGGACGATGTTTGACCAGGGGTTAACTCTACAGGTTACAGCTAAACCCGGAGGGAAAGTTTGGATCAAGAAGGTCAAGTGTCCTTTTGCTAGTAGTAACGTCCATGTAAGTGGATCTCTTGTGTCTGGCATGTTGTAATATCACTCTACAACGTGATCTCTAAAACACGACAGTCACCACCGTCACAAATATCACTCCACTGTCACAAATATCACTCCACCGTCACAAATATCACTCCACTGTCACAAATATCACTCCACTGTCACAAATATCACTCCACCGTCACAAATATCACTCCACTGTCACAAATATCACTCCACCGTCACAAATATCACTCCACTGTCACAAATATCACTCCACCGTCACAAATATCACTCCACCGTCACAAATATCACTCCATTGTCACAAATATCACTCCACTGTCACAAATATCACTCCACTGTCACAAATATCACTCCACCGTCACAAATATCACTCCACTGTCACAAATATCACTCCACTGTCACAAATATCACTCCACTGTCACAAATATCACTCCACCGTCACAAATATCACTCCACTGTCACAAATATCACTCCACCGTCACAAATATCACTCCACTGTCACAAATATCACTCCACTGTCACAAATATCACTCCACTGTCACAAATATCACTCCATTGCCACAAATATCACTCCACTGTCACAAATATCACTCCATTGTCACAAATATCACTCCACTGTCACAAATATCACTCCACTGTCACAAATATCACTCCACTGTCACAAATATCACTCCACTGTCACAAATATCACTCCACTGTCACAAATATCACTCCACTGTCACAAATATCACTCCACTGTCACAAATATCACTCCACTGCCATATATATCACTTTTTATTTTCTTTTTTTTTCGTTTCTTTTTATGTATATTTTTATGACTGTCACAAATATCACTCCACTGCCATATATATCGCTTTCTATTTTCTTTTTTTAACACGTTTTTCTTAACTCAGCTTCGCGTTTGTTTGTTTGGATGTTTGTTGTTAAAATTGACATCGAAAATTAGCACACTTCTGATTGCTCTAGAGATCTGAAATGTGGCATGTAGGCTACTTTCGCCTAACAATTTCAGATGCAATCATAAAAACTAGCAATTAGAGACCGTAATTAGCTTAATTTAATTACGCCCCAAGGACCATAAAATTGAGGACATGATTTCTAAAGATACCGACAAGACTGGAGGCCTATTGACACAGTTACTTCGGCCCCAATCGATGTGAGCGCGCTGGCCGTGATCGTATAGCGGTTAGTACTTCGCGTTGTGGCCGCGACAACCCAGGTTCGAATCCTGGTCGTTCAAGATTTTTAGTCCGTGTATTTATAAACACTTAATCAAGTCAATAGATAAAGTAGAAAATAAACTATATAAAAAACTTTCTTAAAAACCACGTTTTTCATGTGTAGCAACGGACTAAAAAGGAGAAAATAAAATACTTAAAAAAAACTTTAAAAAAAACCACGTTTTTCTTGTGGACTAAAAAGTAGAAAATAAATTTTCATACATTTGATGACAAAAAACGTGGGCCGGGCAGATGGGTCGGGAAATTTGATGGTGAACGTACCCACGTTGTTTGTCATCAAATGTATGAAAATTTATTTTCTACTTTTTAGTCCACAAGAAAAACGTGGTTTTTTAAAAAGTTTTTTTTAAGTATTTTATTTTTCTTTTTTCTTTTTATGTATATTTTTATTACTGTCACAAATATCGCTCCACTGTCACAAATATCACTCCACCGTCACAAATATCACTTTCTATTTTCTGTTTTTTCTTTTTTCTTTTTATATATATTTTATGACTTCATTTTTAAATACTTTTTATGGTTTTTAACCATCGAAGTGCAGTAACGACCTAATGACGGTATTGTTTGAAGAAAGTGACCTATGACCTATGACCTTGGATTGATTGTTACTATTTTGAAATCCCAACCCAGGTGTCTAATCACAATCACGTGCGCTATCACATGACACCCGGACCTGACCACTTCCGGCCATCTGTAGCGGGGGGGATCTCCCACTTCAACACGTGAACATAAACTACACGACAAATTCATTACTGGTGGAGCAGACAGTCAATAGCAGGATTTGTCAGCTTTCTAGTGCAGTCAGTCAGTCAGTCAAACATCAGAATTTGTCAGCTTTCTATCGCAGTCAGTCAAACATCAAGAATTGTCAGCTTTCTAGTGCAGTCAGTCAAACATCAAGATTTGTCAGCTTTCTAGTGCAGTCAGTCAAACATCAGGATTTGTCAGCTTTCTATCGCACAGTTGTGACATATAGAAAAAGAAATCAGACCAAAAATGTTATAAATGGACCAAAAGATTCAAAACACAGCATTTTCATCTAGCCCAAATTACAAACTTAAAAAAGAATTTTTAAGAGTCGTTAACATGTGTGATCTTTTATTGTGAAGTTTATGCCTCTATTTAACTCTACTGGTACCTCTCTATTTATACTGCACTATGCTTCTCTACCTGTCAACTCTACTGGTACCTCTCTATTTATACTGTACTATGCTTCTCTACGTGTCTACTGGTACCTCTCTATTTATACTGTACTATGCTTCTCTACCTGTCAACTCTACTGGTACCTCTCTATTTATACTGTACTATGCTTCTCTACCTGTCAACTCTACTGGTACCTCTCTATTTATACTGTACTATGCTTCTCTACCTGTCAACTCTACTGGTACCTCTCTATTTATACTTTACTATGCTTCTCTACGTGTCTACTGGTACCTCTCTATTTATACTGTACTATGCTTCTCTACGTGTCTACTTGTACCTCTCTATTTATACTGTACTATGCTTCTCTACCTGTCAACTCTACTGGTACCTCTCTATTTATACTGTACTATGCTTCTCTACCTGTCAACTCTACTGGTACCTCTCTATTTATACTTTACTATGCTTCTCTACGTGTCTACTGGTACCTCTCTATTTATACTGCACTATGCTTCTCTACGTGTCATCTCTACTGGTACTTCTACTTTTCCTACTCCAATTGCACAACTCAACTAACCCTACAAGAAGTAGGTCTGTAGTAGTAAGCAGAGGCGTAGCCTTGGGGAGAGCGGTGGGTGCGGACCGCACCGGATGACACCATTTAGGGGGGTGACACCGAGGCAAAAATAGCAACAAATTTTCAAAGAAAAAAATATCATTAAAGTTAAATAAATGATTAATATATATATCTTTTTCACGGATTAGTGTAATTGTCATAAATATTTTTCAATATGTTATGTTAAATGAAAACATTTTGTTTTTTAATTACTATTTAAAATTAGGTGTTACAAAATAACACATCTTTTGAAATGTATTAATCTATTGTAAATAAATTCTGTTGAAAAAACTTAGGAGACGAAAATGTACAATGGGCACAAATTTTGACGCTTTTTGTCGCCATGAAAAGAGTAGCAAAATGATTTGAAACCATTAATTTAGATTTTTAAATTTTGTATTTATTATGCTATAGATTATAGATATTGTTAAATTAAAATAATTTGAATACAAATTTAGTATACCCATAAAAGGAAAAAGCGTCTAGCGGATTCGTATACACATACTTACAAGGGTATATGGGGAGAAGGTAGGGTGTGGCACCAGCCACACAACCTGTATCCAGAGAGGCCCCACACAACCTGTAGCCAGAGAGACCCCACACAACCTGTAGCCAGAGAGGCCCCACACAACCTGCCACACAACCTGTAGCCAGAGAGGCCCCACTTAACATGTATCCAGAGAGGCCCCACACAACCTGTAGCCAGAGAGGCCCCACTTAACATGTATCCAGAGAGGCCCCACACAACCTGTAGCCAGAGAGGCCCCACTTAACATGTATCCAGAGAGGCCCCACACAACCTGTAGCCAGAGAGGCCCCACACAACCTGTAGCCAGAGAGGCCCCACACAACATGTAGCCAGAGAGGCCCCACACAACCTGTAGCCAGAGAGGCCCCACACAACCTGCCACACAACCTGTAGCCAGAGAGGCCCCACACAACCTGTAGCCAGAGAGGCCCCACACAACCTGTAGCCAGAGAGGCCCCACACAACCTGTAGCCAGAGAGGCCCCACACAACCTGTAGCCAGAGAGGCCCCACACAACCTGTAGCCAGAGAGGCCCCACACAACCTGCCACACAACTTGTAGCCAGAGAGGCCCCACACAACCTGTAGCCAGAGAGGCCCCACACAACCTGTAGCCAGAGAGGCCCCACACAACATGTAGCCAGAGAGGCCCCACACAACCTGTAGCCAGAGAGCCCCCACACAACCTGTAGCCAGAGAGGCCCCACACAACCTGCCACACAACCTGTAGCCAGAGAGGCCCCACACAACCTGTAGCCAGAGAGGCCCCACACAACCTGTAGCCAGAGAGGCCCCACACAACCTGTAGCCAGAGAGGCCCCACACAACCTGTAGCCAGAGAGCCCCCACACAACCTGTAGCCAGAGAGGCCCCACACAACCTGTAGCCAGAGAGGCCCCACACAACATGTAGCCAGAGAGGCCCCACACAACCTGTAGCCAGAGAGGCCCCACACAACCTGTAGCCAGAGAGGCCCCACACAACATGTAGCCAGAGAGGCCCCACACAACATGTAGCCAGAGAGGCCCCACACAACCTGTAGCCAGAGAGGCCCCACACAACCTGCCACACAACCTGTAGCCAGACAGGCCCCACACAACCTGTAGCCAGAGAGGCCCCACACAACCTGTAGCCAGAGAGGTCCCACACAACCTGTAGCCAGAGAGGCCCCACACAACATGTAGCCAGAGAGGCCCCACACAACCTGTAGCCAGAGAGGCCCCACACAACCTGTAGCCAGAGAGGCTCACACAACATGTAGCCAGAGAGGCCCCACACAACCTGTAGCCAGAGAGGCCCCACACAACATGTAGCCAGAGAGGCCCCACACAACATGTAGCCAGAGAGGCCCCACACAACCTGTAGCCAGAGAGGCCACACACAACCTGTAGCCAGAGAGGCCCCACACAACCTGTAGCCAGAGTGGCCCCACACAACCTGTAGCCAGAGAGGCCCCACACAACCTGTAGCCAGAGAGACCCCACACAACCTGTAGCCAGAGAGGCCCCACACAACCTGTAGCCAGAGAGGCCCCACACAACCTGTAGCCAGAGAGGCCCCACTCAACCTGCCACACAACCTGTAGCCAGAGAGGCCCCACACAACATGTAGCCAGAGAGGCCCCACACAACCTGTAGCCAGAGAGGCACCACTTAACATGTATCCAGAGCGGCCCCACACAACCTGTAGCCAGAGAGGCCCCACACAACATGTAGCCAGAGAGGCCCCACACAACCTGTAGCCAGAGAGGCCCCACTCAACCTGCCACACAACCTGTAGCCAGAGAGGCCCCACACAACCTGTAGCCAGAGAGGCCCCACACAACATGTAGCCAGAGAGGCCCCACACAAACTGTAGCCAGAGAGGCCCCACACAACATGTAGCCAGAGAGGCCCCACACAACCTGCCACACAACCTGTAGCCAGAGAGGCCCCACACAACCTGTAGCCAGAGAGGCCCCACACAACCTGTAGCCAGAGAGGCCCCACACAACCTGTAGCCAGAGAGGCCCCACACAACCTGCCACACAACCTGTAGCCAGAGAGACCCCACACAACTTGTAGCCAGAGAGGCCCCACACAACCTGTAGCCAGAGAGGCCCCACACAACCTGTAGCCAGAGAGGCCCCACACAACCTGTAGCCAGAGAGGCCCCACACAACCTGTAGCCAGAGAGGCCCCACACAACATGTAGCCAGAGAGGCCCCACACAACCTGTAGCCAGAGAGGCCCCACTTAACATGTATCCAGAGAGGCCCCACACAACATGTAGCCAGAGAGGCCCCACACAACCTGTAGCCAGAGAGGCCCCACTCAACCTGCCACACAACCTGTAGCCAGAGAGGCCCCACACAACCTGTAGCCAGAGAGGCCCCACACAACATGTAGCCAGAGAGGCCCCACACAACCTGTAGCCAGAGAGGCCCCACTTAACATGTATCCAGAGAGGCCCCACACAACCTGTAGCCAGAGAGGCCCCACACAACATGTAGCCAGAGAGGCCCCACACAACCTGTAGCCAGAGAGGCCCCACTCAACCTGCCACACAACCTGTAGCCAGAGAGACCCCACACAACTTGTAGCCAGAGAGGCCCCACACAACCTGTAGCCAGAGAGGCCCCACACAACCTGTAGCCAGAGAGGCCCCACACAACCTGTAGCCAGAGAGGCCCCACACAACCTGTAGCCAGAGAGGCCCCACACAACATGTAGCCAGAGAGGCCCCACACAACCTGTAGCCAGAGAGGCCCAACTTAACATGTATCCAGAGAGGCCCCACACAACATGTAGCCAGAGAGGCCCCACACAACCTGTAGCCAGAGAGGCCCCACTCAACCTGCCACACAACCTGTAGCCAGAGAGGCCCCACACAACCTGTAGCCAGAGAGGCCCCACACAACATGTAGCCAGAGAGGCCCCACACAACCTGTAGCCAGAGAGGCCCCACTTAACATGTATCCAGAGAGGCCCCACACAACCTGTAGCCAGAGAGGCCCCACACAACATGTAGCCAGAGAGGCCCCACACAACCTGTAGCCAGAGAGGCCCCACTCAACCTGCCACACAACCTGTAGCCAGAGAGGCCCCACACAACCTGTAGCCAGAGAGGCCCCACACAACATGTAGCCAGAGAGGCCCCACACAACCTGTAGCCAGAGAGGCCCCACACAACCTGTAGCCAGAGAGGCCCCACACAACCTGTAGCCACAGAGGCCCCACACAACCTGTAGCCAGAGAGGCCCCACACAACATGTAGCCAGAGAGGCCCCACACAACCTGTAGCCACAGAGGCCCCACTTAACATGTATCCAGAGAGGCCCCACACAACATGTAGCCAGAGAGGCCCCACACAACCTGTAGCCAGAGAGGCCCCACACAACATGTAGCCAGAGAGGCCCCACACAACCTGTAGCCAGAGAGGCCCCACTTAACATGTATCCAGAGAGGCCCCACACAACCTGTAGCCAGAGAGGCCCCACACAACATGTAGCCAGAGAGGCCCCACACAACCTGTAGCCAGAGAGGCCCCACTCAACCTGCCACACAACCTGTAGCCAGAGAGGCCCCACACAACCTGTAGCCAGAGAGGCCCCACACAACCTGTAGCCAGAGAGGCCCCACACAACCTGTAGCCAGAGAGGCCCCACACAACCTGTAGCCAGAGAGGCCCCACACAACCTGTAGCCAGAGAGGCCCCACACAACATGTAGCCAGAGAGGCCCCACACAACCTGTAGCCAGAGAGGCCCCACTTAACATGTATCCAGAGAGGCCCCACACAACATGTAGCCAGAGAGGCCCCACACAACCTGTAGCCAGAGAGGCCCCACACAACATGTAACCAGAGAGGCCCCACACAACATGTATCCAGAGAGGCCCCACACAACATGTAGCCAGAGAGGCCCCACACAACCTGTAGCCAGAGAGGCCCCACACAACCTGCCACACAACCTGTAGCCAGAGAGGCCCCACACAACATGTATCCAGAGAGGCCCCACACAACCTGTATCCAGAGAGGCCCCACACAACCTGTAGCCAGAGAGGCCCCACACAACCTGTAGCCAGAGAGGCCCCACACAACATGTAGCCAGAGAGGCCCCACACAACCTGTAGCCAGAGAGGCCCCACACAACCTGTAGCCAGAGAGACCCCACACAACCTGTAGCCAGAGAGGCCCCACACAACCTGTAGCCAGAGAGGCCCCACACAACCTGTAGCCAGAGAGACCCCACACAACCTGCCACACAACCTGTAGCCAGAGAGGCCCCACACAACCTGTAGCCAGAGAGGCCCCACACAACCTGTAGCCAGAGAGGCCCCACACAACCTGTAGCCAGAGAGGTCCCACACAACCTGTAGCCAGAGAGGTCCCACACAACCTGTAGCCAGAGAGGCCCCACACAACCTGTAGCCAGAGAGGCCCCACACAACCTGTAGCCAGAGAGGCCCCACACAACCTGTAGCCAGAGAGACCCCACACAACCTGTAGCCAGAGAGGCCCCACACAACCTGTAGCCAGAGAGGCCCCAGACAACATGTAGCCAGAGAGACCCCACACAACCTGCCACACAACCTGTAGCCAGAGAGGCCCCACACAACCTGTAGCCAGAG